CCCATCCACAGAAGGTTTGGCCGGTCCTGGTCTCGGATCTGCCACTTTTGATGGAGGAATTGGACTATATTCTGGCTGCACTCGAGCAAGTACTGGAGGAGGAGAAGGCTGATTGATGACCAATTCGAAAGGATCTTCCCTTATTTCATTACTCAATGAAGGACCTAATTCCTGAGCAGGGTGTGGCCATACACCATCATCCAAGGAGAGCACCGACTCCATTGTAGATTTAATTCCTCCTTGATCACCATCTTTTACAGCCACAATATCATTTTGTACAGCCTGATTCAGGCTATTACCATGGATGACACGAAATTGAGAATGTTAGAAACAGCCAAAATTATTAGGGAATTCTTCAAAGAAGATCAAGCAGACGTTTTCAACTGACGAATGTCAAGCAACCTATGATCTTTAAATTTATACTGAGAAAGAAGCAAAACATGGAAATAGATATGTGGAAAAGAAGCACAGTTAAAAGGTTTAGACAAGACATGTGAAGTATTGCAGGAAGAACTCACCCTGAATTTTCAGTAGGGATTAGGTCGGTACTGCTTGGATATTGAACCTGCAAAGTAGATAGGTTAATGGAGTTTTACAAGGTCAGAAATAATAAAATTTTTGAAACCACACTTGAAAATTTACCTTAACCTTTGCACTGGGTCCTAGCCACTGGCCCTGAAGACCATTTGGACCCAAAAATGAGTGTCTAGACAAAGTCTCTTTATTCGGAAGAGGTATATTAAGAGATCTGAAAATTCAAGGAATTGTTGTCATGATTCCCATATCTAAAATCTACAAATTATGGGTATCAGTATAGTTTATACGGCCAGAAGAAATTTACTCACAGCTTCTGGAACTGCTTGTCAATTTGTGTAGTATTTGTTGATACCCGTGAATAATCATTATTATACTTCCATGAAGACTGAGATTTCAAGCTAGAAGGCTGCACATGAAAAGAACAAATTAATTCAGTATTTTGATAGTCTTCCAACAAACTTCAAATAAACTACAAATATTACATGGAGACACAACAAGATTATGACAAATCATCCTAAGTGCTTTACAACCCAAACGAATCAATGACCAGAATGAGGACCAACAGAACCAATCCCAAAGTATCAACGGAGCATTCAGTACCTGCCTAACGTTTATGCTCAATGAATTATTGTTCACAGGAGGCCATTCTAAAGAAGGTGTTCCCAAACCATATGAAGTGCCTTCTAGGCATTCAAGTTGAGGTAGTTGAGAAACTGCTTGGGCCTCATTAAGTTTGTTGACTAGGCGTTGGGCTTCTGGCTTTAAAGATTCAAGCTCATCTAGTACATTTAACAGTTTCTGCAATGATGATACGAAAGCCAAGTCAGAATAGGTTCTTGTATATTAAACATGCAAGAAATAGTAACTTCCTAAAAGGATTAGATAGTTTACCTTCCTATACATACTTCTCTCTTTAGGAGGAAATGTCTGGTAGTCTCGATGACACGGTATAGTTTCAGACACCAAACTGTAAAATGTTAACAATAAGGTTCCACAACTAAATAATTTTGCATGCTATCAATTCTATAACATGGAAAATCATCTAATGACCTTTTCTACGTACCTTGAAAATCGGAGAAGTATGACATACAAATCTACAATGTTTTTCTCCTCCCGGTATATACTAGCCTGAGCATTTGAGAAGTATATTTAGGTAAGAAAGAAAACCAGAAAATTTAAACCCAACATTAGCTGCAGGATACTCGTACAATGACTACCCAACATTAGCTGCAGGATACTCGTACAATGACTACCCAACATTAGCTGCAGGATACTCGTACAATGACTACCCAACATTAGCTGCAGGATACTCGTACAATGACTACCCAACATTAGCTGCAGGATACTCGTACAATGACTACCCAACATTAGCTGCAGGATACTCGTACAATGACTACCCAACATTAGCTGCAGGATACTCGTACAATGACTACCCAACATTAGCTGCAGGATACTCGTACAATGACTACCCTAATACATACCATTACCATTACCATATAAACTAATTAGTTAGGAATGAACAGAAAATTACTTCTTCTTTTTTCTCACTATCCCAATTGAAATCACAAAACCTATTTCTTTCCAAATTGCATACAGAACTCAGCTTCAATGTGAAATTCAGGATCAAAATTCAGGGAAAATGGGGAGTCTTAGAACTATAAAAAAAAAAAACCCCTTAAATAGCTGATTTCAATAAAAGTGCATCATTTGACACCCTAAGGAAGTTCTCCAAAGGTAAATCAGCGTTTCACGATCAAATTTAAACTTCAATTACTCTAAAATTTATTACAAACAAAGCGACATAGAATCAAGAGAAAGATAGAAAGAGAAAAAATGGAACCTGTTTGAGGAGATTATCGGCGATTCGAAAGTAAAATCGGAGAGGGTAGCGATTATCGATCTCAACTTTCCGAGCCATTGAATTGATGTTGATCTTCATCTTCTCCAGTGACGAATGCCAGCAACTCTCACGGTATCGCACAGAGAGTTTCAGGGAGGGAAAGGGAGGATCAATGCTCTGAGCGTGTGCGTCAAGTCAAACTCGGTCGTTTTGGATGGAGAAGCTTCTTGTTTGTCTATGTCGACATGGTGAGGTTACTTACTGAGGTACATAAAGGTTTCGGTAAGTGCACCACTGACTAAGGAATTGCCGTGACCAACCAGTCTTAATATATTTTCGTTTTCTTTTTTAAATCAATGTCTGTACGGGTAATTTGTACTTTTCTTTGTCTTTTTTTGTTGGAATTTGAAAGAAAAATATCATTTAATCGTATACTTAGTTGATTAATTGGAGCTTAATCAAGAACGATAAACATGAAATTTGGAAGAAAATAGCCAAATATCAAATTTGGTAACTACGTTTGATTCTATAGAATAACTTGTTCGAACTATAAATTTAAGAATAATTTATCACAAGGGTAGTTATTGAGGTGTCTTGGCTCCAGATTCAAGTTGTGGGTTCAAGTGTTCAGTCCTTATTGAGAAGCACTCATCACTTCTGAAAAAGTACTTGCAAGTGATTCTTAAGAAGCACGTTCTCGTAAGTGATTCTGGCCTATCCAAAATCACTTTCAAACAAGCATGTCAAGTGTCACTTATCATAAAGCGTTTTCTTTTACAAATGCTATAACTTTAGTACATTGGAGTATACAACTCTTCTATTAACACAATGATTAGCAGAGTCTTTTTTTTATTTTTATGCATTAACAAATCAAAGTGTAATCGACTATTCATTTTGAGAACACTTTACGACTATTAACAACTACTTGATCATTGGTTTCTTTTCTTGAATAGTTAAAAAGGAGGAAGTGAGCATTAAAAATTTGACTCAGCATTTTATTCAATCATATCCAATGGCCAGAAGTACCAGCGCCTATGATTTTGGCAATCACAAGATCCTATAAATGTAGCAATATGATCTCCAGTTCATAGTTTAACAACACTGAAATTCCCTAGAATGGCCAACCGATCTGTGTCTTAATACTTAAACACCACAGTAGGATTGAAATATTGCAACAATCCTGTAAACAAAAACTCCAGAATACACAGCGGAATAAATTCAAATAAAAACGCAAATAATTGCACAAAGGGACACACGACATGTTGACGCAGTAAAAAACCTCAAGTTGAGGAAAACAACTGCGGGCACTATGCCTGAGAACAAATCACTATGAGAAAAAATACAAAAAGGTCTTACAAGTCTCAACTCACAAAACTAACGCTCACAAGGAAGACTTGCCTACTCGCCTTTGCTACTCAACTCAATCAGTGATCTTGTCTTCCTTCGTCAACAAGAGATGGCACAACTCTGGTCTCGGCTGCTCACACCTCAAGGCATGATTGCTGATCACCAACATGCATAATGCTCATGAACTCACACATATATTGAAAGATGATGATTTAATCACTCATGGAGGCTAACAAGGAACAGCCACATGAGTTTTCAATATGAACTCTCAAAAACTCTCTGCAAGAATATTTTTGTAGTTCTATGCTTTTCAACGTTGCAGACACGAAACAAAACGGCTAAGTTCCTTTCTTATATCACACGCTTAAAAACTAGGTCAAAGACCAAAAAAGGCTTTTAGCAAAAATAGGCTTTTTAACAAATAAATTATTTATTTGAAAACAAATAAAGCCACTTAATTAAAAACCCAGCTATAAAGACAAAAGAACCCTTTTGCTTAAAAAAAAAAACATCAAACTAAAGATTATAAAACCATCATTAAAACCTCACTGATGTGTGGCACTGGATTACGTAAGACTGAAACCATATATCAGTCCTTTACATCTGAGAGCCACTTTTGATGATCTTGCAAATATGCAAATATGAATGCATGGATGCAAAACATACCTTGGCATTATCTCTGAGCCACACTGATTCAGGATAGCAGAACGTCACTTGAAACTGTAGGTTACGCTCAAAGACCTACTCTATGTTTTTGTAACAGGAAATTGCCAATATACCAAAAATTGGTCCTAACAAACACAAACATGTTATGTTGCCTGACTGGCCCCAAAAAAAAAAAATCATAATGCTTCTTTGAGCTCCTCTCAGCTGGTTGTGTTCCTAACCATCCTTACTAAAATTAGCAGTTCTCTAGAGGAGGGATCCCAAAAAGAAATTAAGAACTTGATTAACATCCCTCAAATATAAATCCTTTTCGACATCGGTAATATCACAATGCAGCCATAATCAAGTAATTAATCAAATTAATTAGCAATGTTAGCAGAATTGTAGATCGATAGACAATGATAAGAGTTGTTCCAATTAACAAAAATATTAGAGTCTCTAGAGAGCTTGAATCTAGCTTAGCATAACCAAGTTGAAAAATGGTTCTATAAAGTATCAGGCTGCCGGATATCTCATGTTCAAAGAGGGATCTTAATAAAATTAGAACTCACAAACTAAGAACGAATTGAGGATGGTTACATTCATATTTTCTGAGCATAGATATATTATACAGAAAGAAAAGCTGGCCAAAGAGAACTATATAAAAAGATATTTATATAATTAAAAAATGAGGGTATATATATATATACCTATTACCCAAAGCAGTGTGTAACTTAACAATGGTTTCTTCCTCCTCAGCAGTGATGTTCCCTCTCTTTAAGTCAGCCCTCAGATAATTTATCCACCTCAGTCTGCAACTCTTCCCACACCTCAGCAATCCTTCATATCACACACAAACACATTGATTTGTGTATATTTACAACCAAATGAAGAAACATTGGGAATATATATAAAGGATCCTTTATTGTAAAAATCTTTCAAGGCTAGCTAGCTACTATATATATATATGAATATTTAGACCTGCATTATTGGGTAAAGATCTCCAAGAGCCTTCTCCATGAAGTTGAATGTAGTTGGTCAAGATTTCGTCTTCTTCAGCTGTCCATCTTCCTCTTTTGAGCCCAAGTTTCTCACAGCATGGTGCTCTTCCCATCTCTCTATGAGAATTGAAAGAGAGGCAAGGCACATATACAGCAGTTAGGCCCCGTTTGGTTCACGGAATGGATTTGAGGGGAAATCAATTCCCATATCATTTCCCAAGGAATGGGAATGAAAGATTCCTTTCCCACGTTTGGTAATGTTGGGAAAGTAACCGGGAGATTTCACTTTGTTTCCTTTCCCATGTTTGTTTTGAGTAGGAATGGAAAACTAAATTTGTATAATTTTCCAATTATACCCATATTAAATCAAATAAAAAAAGAATGTATTTAATGATACGTTGTAATTATAAATTGTTCATAGGGACAAAATAGTCATGAAAATTGTGCATTGAATGTTGGTTCATTTTCCCAAACTTTCCCATGAAGAGGGAAAACAAAACCCAAGTTAAGAGGGGGGCTTTACTTTCCCCCCTACTTTCCCATGTGCCAGGAATCCGTTTCCCATGCCTGAACTTCCCAAACATGGGAAAGTAATTGAATTCCCATTCCCAAGCCTCCTTTCCCATGAACCAAACGGGCCCTTATAGTTGTGCGTGCAACGCTTCTCGCGTGTAGTATTAATAATATTAATCTTTGCATAGCATAGGAGGAGTTGATGTAGACGTACGTGCGGTGGCTAAGTGTTCTTCGTGTCCTCCACTAGGTTGATTTGTCGGGCCACAAGTACCAGTTAATTAGTGATCAAACTCTATGCTTGAGGAGAAAAGCTTAACCCGTTTCCGTCACTGCTGAGTGCTACAACATTTCATTCGTTTCCCGCAGTGCTAAGTGGTACAATATTCTAGGTGTTTCCTGCAGTTCTGAGTACCTAAAGGATTTAAATAGGCTCATCAAAACTTAGACTTTGATTTGAGATGTGAAAATAAATAAAACAATAAATGCTATAAATTTGGTATATGCACAATGATTTCATTCAATTGTTCTTAGCCTTGTAGCCGATATGAAGCACACACATAGGCCCTTCATTTTCTCTTCTAACTTTTTAGCTAGCAGACCCTTGGAAGCTAAAAAAATGGCGTCTACAATACATTATTATTTATTGCATAGGTTTGGCCAAACAATGGATCCCTATATATATATATATATATACATATGCTTAGCTTGCTAGATACTTGTAGGTTTTGTTTCTTCTTCTTCTTCTTCTTTATATTTCTCCCCCATGAAAACACAAAACGCAGCATGCATGTACGTTCACGGCCCTCAATTGCATAAATATAGAAGGCCTACCACCATAGAGTTTTCAAGGCTTGGTTTGGTATTATTTATATTTTCTGACCCCATGCATGAAAAGACTCATGATGTTTTTGCCCTATGCTCTGGAAATGTATAGAGACAGAGGCTTTAGGCCGTTTTCTCACAGAATTGGGGTAGAGATTTAACTGTGACAGCTAACCTAATAAGGCAAATGGCAAGGTTGAATCTCAACACATTAAGGCCTCATTTGGTGAGCTGGCTTGGACTGGTTAGGATAGGTTTTGAAGTATTGGATTGGGTTGGCTTGGACTGAGTAGGCTTTGGGTCCAGTCCTATTCATTTTTGCACCAAACAACATATTAGAATTAACTTTTTTATTATTATTTATTTTAATAAATCAGAATTTATGTTAGTTTTTTATTAGCAAAAATCATATGCAAAATCTCAAGCCCCAAATCGGCTTCTGAAACCTTCCTTTGACCGGTCAAACAAATCGCGCGACGAACAATGACCCTCCGTTTGGATGAGGGAAAATAACTCGGAATTTAGCTAAAAGTCGGGAATTTAAGAGGAGAAATTGACAATTCCCTTGTTTGGCAACTTAAGCGCGGAATTTATTAAATGACGCGCGGAAAAAATCGTGGAAATTGAGGCATCAAATTCCCGAGTTTAATTTCCACCAAAATAGGCGTCATTTCACAATTTCCATAGTGCGGGAATTCATATTTTTCAGTGTGCCAAAACTTACATTAAAAAAAAAAACCGCCAAACTTTTCATTTTTAAAAAAAAAGTACACGTCTCTCTGGATCAAATTTGAAGGTTAGTCTTCAAGCCTTTCTCTCCTTCAATTTATGTTTTTTCTATTTTAGGGTTACCATGGTTTCTGAATGGCTATCAAAATTGGGTGTTTTTGACTAAATTTATGAATATGTGTTGAATAGGTTTTGTGATCTTTGCAGCACTATGACTGGATTTTGGGAAGTTTTAACAAAATACTCTATGCCCATGGATATTGGTGTGTGATTTGTGTTTATGGTACAACTCTGTAGTTGTTTGCTAGCTTTATCGCTTTGTGTTATCACATTGTTTAAGTTTTACCCTTCGTTTCCTTACTCTGAAGAAAAAGTATATGTTGCTGAAAAGCTTTTTATATACTCTATAAGGAAACGAAAAGCTTTGTTGATTGTTATATGCTGCTGAAAATCGATTTTGGTCTTCTCTCATTCTTATTTTACTTTGATTATTTGTTTGGTAGTCTCATGACGATGCTAAAGGTTTTTTTATTTAAAGTTTTAGAAAATTGGGATGATATAGTAGATTTGTGTGGCAAAGATAAAGCCACTTGAGAGGGCGCTGAAATAGGTGCAGATGCAACTGAGGTTATGACTCCTACTAATGAAGTTGATCATGTTTATTTGAATGGTGATACACAAGATTTAGAAGATATTCATGTTATTGATGATATTTCACCAACCTCAACAAATGGTCAAAAGAGAAGAAATCGTGCATCAAATTCTTCTGATATTCTTCCTACAAAGAAAAGAGGTGATGTCAAAGATGTTATTGCTGATTCGATTGCTAGAATGGCTTTATCATTTGAAGAGTTTATCCGTGCTGATACTAAGAACCTTGATCCAGCAGAGGTATATGATGAAGTACAAGCAGTACCAGGTCTTAGTGAAAAAGAACAACTCAAAGCATGTGCTTGGCTGATTGAAAATGACAAACAATTTCAGATGCTGAAGGCACTCCCAATTGAGAAAAAACAAAAGAGTATGTTGTTGATCAGATGTTTATTGCACGTGGTGAGTGATTTGGTTTGCTAATATGCTCTGTTTGTTTAAGTTGAGTTATTTAGTTCATCAAACGATATGTTATTTTATACTTCGAGGAATACCTTCTATGTTGGTTATCAATTTTTTTGTTCTTTCGAAATATTTAATTTCTGTCATTTACAATTTACATGAGCTATCCAAACATTGAAATTTTCAATTTATGTCAATTACAAAATTCGACATACATAAATCCAAACATTGAAATCTTCAATTGCCAAAAATTGAAATGACATAAATCTAAATTCCGTCATTTTAGAATTCTATGTCATTTGCAATTCCTTCATCCAAACGGAGCATGAGAGAATCTTCACACAGGGTAGAGAAATGCTAACTGTTTGGTTGCTGAGAAAACACAAGAAAACGTGAAAATACATTAAGAAAACGAAAATTGAATCTGATCTGATAAAGCTATGAAATGGGAGCGTTACACCTTTCTCTTCAGCAAAGAGCTCTTGAGCCTTCTCTCTCTCTTTCTCTCTTTCTACAAAAATCCCTATCCCCAAATCCCCTCTTCTTCTTCTTCCTTACTTTCAAATTCCAACCTCTCCTTGCCCAACTCCAAATCTACAGAAAGAGTAGCAATGGACCCACCTTCTTCTTCAGGCAATAATTATCAACTACCTTTGCTCCGTTCTATTTCTGCACAGCCATTGGACCCACTAACCCAACAACCAATTTCACCCATTTCACAAGCTGAAGAACCAGCGGAGTTCAATGATGAAACTGAGCAAGACTCAGGTCGTGAAAGAGATTAGAGCGAGATTGGGCAGAGGATAAAGGAGAGAGAGAGAGAGAGAGAGAGGAGAAAGAGAATATTTCCTTAGAATTCTTGGCCTTATCTTCTCTTGGCCTTGAAAATGCAAATGTTGCCCTTGAGCAAATTTCCAAACTCGCCTTTGCTGATGGTGATACCATGCAGCAACGCTGCATACTTCACCAAGGCTCTGCTGCTGCTTCCCCTGACTTCACTTGTGCAAATCATGTTTACACCGCCTTACTAATTTGTTGCAGGATTAATTTGATCTCTTTAGCCAATTTGAGAATTATATATGTGTTGTGGTGAAAATGTGCAGGGCATTTTAGTAATCAAATTAATTTGGATTCTGATTCATGAAAATTAGTAAACAATAACAATGGGAATCAACCCCATTCCTTTATTAATTATGTATATTTAGTAAACAGCTTAATGGGAATGATTCTTCTCATACCGATTCAGTAGTTCCCCGATTCCTAAATTCTCTGATTCTTTACTTTCTCCATTACTGATACGTAAACATGCCCTAAAAGAAGAAGAATGAGCGAAATGGATGGGAAGGAGAGAGGTGACGATAGAGTTTCATTGTAAACCCACCTATGGGGTTGGGTTTCATAACCATAGTTATTTGGGACTTGGATTCGAAGGCCCATATCCAGTGTGAAACACATTTAAGCCCACCATACAATGGTTAGGATCCATATCCATTTTAATTGGAAATATCTCATCCAGTCTAGCCCACCAAACAGGGCCTAATAGATTTTAGGGACCATAACCTCAGAATGTCAATGTCATTCGTAGCAAAAGTTAAATTGGATCACATGCACTGTTGATCAATATTCAAGCAGGCAAGTTCTCAAATTTCTTCTTCAAGGTAAATAAAAATATACGAGTTCATTTTCCATAACCATTCGCGTTGCGATTTAAATGAGGGAGAGGAGGGAGAAGGTCCACCAGCAACCCTATCATAGTATAGTAACAAGTAATTGTCCTTCATGCTATATTTTTAGGCCCCGTTTGGAATTGCTTTTTTTTGCCAAAAACCTGCTTCACTTTAAAGTTAAGCAGTTTAAGGTGTTTGGTAAAAAGAAAATATCCCGATTATTTTAAAAGCAATGATCTTTTGACAACAGCTTTTAAAAGCAGGCTCTGAGTTGCTTTTCAAAGCTGCTTTCAAAAGAAGCAGAGATGAACATTTAATGAATTTT